TCGTGAGAGGGAGGGCAGGAAGGGAGGAGTCAGCGCTCAGTTCTTGGGGCCCTCTCTTGCATGCCGATTGGCACTTGGGGGTCAGGAACAATGCTCCTTCTAAGCTTTGGAGTCTTGTGAGCAAAAATTCTACTTTGTGAGCGACTGGTATTAAAGTGGTGAGCGAGCGATTTGGCTACGGCATAAATTAGCTCTCCCTCTTCTGCGAGGACAGATCCGCATGTCCCCCCCCCATAGCTACCAATCTAAAACAGTCCAGTGGCACCTTTAAGACCAAGTTTTATTCAGGTACAAGCTCGCCCTCCTCTGCGAGGACAGATCTGCACATTTCCCCCACCCTCCCAATAGCTAGCAATCCAAAACAGTCCAGTGGCACCTTTAAGACCAAGTTTTATTCAGGTACAAGCTCTCCCTCCTCTGCCAGGACAGATCTGCACGTCCCCCCCCCCCAATAGCTAGCAATCCAAAAGAGTCCAGTGGAGCCTGAGCGGTGGGTGTTGCCTTCTGACACACTTCCGGTGATGTCAGGGGGTGTGGCCTATGCAAACAAGTTATGCGAATGAGTTATGCTAATGAGCTCCTGCACCTCTTTTTCTACGAAATGACCCCTGCCAAGTAGCACCTTCAAGACTAACAAAATTGGTGGCCGGGGAGGAGTTTTCGTGAGTCACTGCTCACTTCTTCAGATAGATCGAGACGGGCCGCCGCCGTGTTAGTCTGTCGGGAGCAGTAGAAAAGATCAAGAGTCCAGTAGCACCTGAAAGACAAACACATTTTGTGGCAGGGTGGGAGCTTTCGTGAGCCACTCACGAAAGCTCATTCCCTTGCGGCAAATTTTGTTCGTCTTTAATGCTCCACTGGCTTGATACACGGTTAGTCCTGCCATCTTTCCCCCCCTTTGTTCCCTGGAAATTATGTTCGTCGAAGAATGTGAAATTCTGTGCGCACGCGCATACAAAACCGGAAAACTTCCACCGCTGTCCTCTTTGCGCAGTTGATTCCAAAGGAAGAATTTAGAGTGGGCATTTACGGAATCCGGCTTATTTTTAGCCGAGCTGGGCCATAGGTGCCCTCTGTTGCGTTTGCAGCGTCAGCCAGCCAGAGAAAGGCCTTTCTCTGCTTCTCGATATCTGCTCTCCGTGGCCTCCGGAGACATCTTCTTGGCTTAGACCTCTTAATGGACCGTGGAGCTCAGTTGCGCTCACTGCGTGTGTGTATCCAGGCTCTAACCACAAAGTCCTGCATCTGTGTTGGCTGTGGGAGTAAGGGGCGGGATTGGCCGACAGCAAAGCCGGTCGGATTTGGGAGCTGGCCTTTTTTTCTTTTTAAAGCACAAATCCCAGCTGTGCGGAGAATCTATTTCTGCCGGCGACAGAAGCAGCCACAGCTGTTTGGGAAGAGTTTGCATCCGATGCACCGAGGGCTTGCTCTCGAGTCGGGGAAAGTGTGTGTGTGGGTCTGGCACCCCAGGATCGAAACAGGGACTGGAGTCACCGGATCTATAAGCACCGATTGCTCCCACCTCTGAGGCCGGTGCCTTTTCCCAAGACGGTTCTTGCGTCAACCAAGTGTCCTGGAGGGCAGACTTGGGGCGTCACATCTCTCTCTCTCTCTCTCTCTCTCTCTCTCAGAGCCAGTTTGGTGTAGTGGTTAGAGGGTCAGTGTTCACTCTAAGCTGAGTCCGTGTGAGCTAGCTCGCAGTTTTTTAGCCTCCGGCTCACACATTTTTGTCTTCGCTCAGGAAGGAGGGCTCCAGAGCAAACTAATTTATGCAGCAGCCAAATCACTCGCTCACAACTTTAATGCCAGCAGCTCATAAAGTAGGATTTTTGCTCACAAGAACCCACGGAGCGTTGGTTAGGAGCACGGAAAGTCTGTTCTTTCGACTTCCTGCAGGGTCAGACCGAAGAACCATCTAGTCCGGCCCGGGAAGTCCTCAGGTGGGGCATGATAGAATAAGTAAGGCTCTGTTCCTCCCCAGCGTCTGGAGATACACTGCCCTTCTCCATGGAGGCTCCACTGAGTCTGGCATTGGACTGTCAGTGGAGGATAACCATCCTTTATGAATTTGTCTAATCCTCTTCTAAAACCAGCGAAGCCAGAGAGTGTCGTTCTGTCTTGAGGGCGAGAATGCCGTAAGTTGGCCGTGGCAAGTAATTATTTGCACAGTTCCTAACGGACTCTTGGGTACAGTTAGCTTATGGAATGGGTGGCTGTAATTGTGTGTAGCCTGACAAAGTTCTTCCTTTTGCTCCTCCCATATTTCTCGCCCGTCAATTTCACTGGGCGACCCCGAGCTTTAGTATTACAGGAAGGTTCCCATCGTCTGCTTTCTTAACACCCACAGGGCTATTTTTGGGCAGGAACGCACAGGAACGGAGTTCCGGCTGGCTCCCAAGTTGGCCACGCCCAGCAGGAACTCATTAGCATAATAGGCCACACCCAACAGTAGAAACTCATTAGGATTGGCTACATTAGGGGTGTGGCCTAACAGGCAAAGGAGTTCCTGCTACAAAAAAAGCCCTGGGTTTTGACAACAAACAAGGTAAACAGAATAAGAAGCAAAAGGTGGGTGTGGCTGGATGACCACACTTCTGGTAACACAGGGGTGTGGCCTCATATGCTAATGAGCTATGCTCTCATGGGTGTGGCTGGATATGTTAATGAGTTTCTGTTGTTGGGTGTGGCCTATTATGCTAATGAGTTCCTGCTGGGCTTTTTCTACAAAAAAAGCCCTGAACACCCAGCGTAATTTTTTAATAAACTTAGCTGTCCTTTTTCCGTAAGCTGAAAAGTCTTCAGCCCCCTCAGTTTTTACTGCTAGGGAAGGGTCTCCAAACTCTTGAAAGCCCGTGTGGTGTAGTGGTTAAGAGTGTTGGGCTAGTCTCTGGAAGACTCAGGTTCGAATCCCCACTCATGCCATGGAATCTTCCTGCCTGACCTGGCTGACCTGGGGCTAGTCACGCGCTCTTGGTCTAACCTACCTCGCAGGGTTGTTGTGAGGATAAAATGGACGAGAGGAAAATGATGTAACGTGCTTTGCTGTCCCTCCCTGGGGGGAAAGGTAGAGTATACATGAATTAAGTCAATAAAATACGTGCTTGTCTGGATTTTCTCCAGCACGACAATGGGACGCAAGGGTTTAAACTCAGATTTTGAGCCCCTTCACAGTAGCTGTGCAAAATCCTGTACAAAAACTGATTGTAATTTGCGTAGGACTGCACTGTTACACTATGATTCTATCCTGTCAGGGATGCTCTAGGCCAGGGGTGTCAAACATGTGGCCCGGGTGTCTGTTGTGGACCGAGGAAGGGAAGGAAATTGTAAAACGCTCTGAGACTCCCAAGTGAAGGGCGAGGTATAAATCCAACCTCTTTTTCTCTTCTTCTTCTAATCCCCACCCCCGTTAGTTTTATCTCCTCCATGCGACAGGGTGCAAACAATGCGCTATCTGCTCCAGACACTCCGAAGGGTGTGAACAAACCCATCCACTTCCCTCTGACTCAGCCAGTGCAAACCAGCCTGATACTAAAACAAAGCCGTTGAGGATAGAAACTCGCTTGCGTGAGGGAAGAAAACACAGTGCTGAAATAAATTAGTCAGTGGTTGTCTAGTCACCATCTGTGGGAGCCATCTGTCTGTCGCTAGCAGCACACACTGTTGTTGTGGTGAAATCTGATAATTATACATCGTTTTTGCTTCCTTTGGGCGTTCTGGATTAGAAGCCTAGGGTCAAACCCCGTAAATATGGAGGCAAGGACCTCCTTCAGGGCTGAGTGTTTCTTCTGTGCCCCGTTTTGGGGGCTGTAAAGCAAAGCCTGTCTCATCTCTCTGATGCTTTCTCCCCCACAGGTTCTTTGCCCAAGTGGGTAGTGAATAAATCCTCGCAGTTCCTGGCTCCGAAGGTACGTCACATCTCTCTCTGTCTCTCTCTGTCTCTCTGTCTCTCTCTCTCAGAGCCAGTTTGGTGTCTCTCTCTGTCTCTCTGTCTCTCTCTCTGTCTCTCTGTCTCACTCTATGTCTCTCTCTCTCCC